AATCATCTTTGGCTTCCACTGACTACTGATTTGAGAGCTGTCTTATCAGTCCTAATATTGGTCTTTTAAAAGCGAAGATGGCTTTGCCCTCCCTGTGGCTCCTTGCAATATCTTTTCTTTGCTCTCAATGTTTTTCACTTTTCGTTATGTGATTGTAGACGCGGATTTGCTCTTATCTGACATGGGTTATCGCTGGACTCCCTGAACTGAAAGACTCTGGTCTTTCAACAATCCCTGAAATTCTCAGCTACCACCTCTTCAGTTGTTCCTTTTACTGTTCTGTCTTCTCTTCTGGAGATATAAATTAGACATAAACTTCCTCACTCCTTACAGTCTCCATTTTGTTAGACCATGTTACGCTACCTTCAGACAATTTGCAGTAAGTGACCCTGTATTTGAAATGTGATAATCAGATTTCACTTTGCCGCAATGACAGTTATGAGGGTCTCTTATTTCTTAACTGTAAAAACAACTAACACTACTCTGAAATCCTGCACAGTATTTGTAAAATAAATTGGGTGAATAGCCTTACCATGGCGGCTACACTCCCATATTCTTGCAGTGGGCCAAAGACTTGCTGTAATTCACTACCAGCCAATACAATGTCCACACTAAAGGGCCCTGAAATCTTTCTTTTGCTTTAGAAAATAAGTGTAGGGAAATAAGAAAACTCAGAGAACTCTTGTAGCCAAACGGAGTTAATACCTGCGAAAATGCCATCGATACCCCTCAGGCCTCATTTCCTTCATAAATCTGAAATTTACCAGTGATGTATTTCACAGGTTACACTGGGAGTGAGTAAGAATTTCCAAAGCCAAAACAAGCACTCTGAAATTTAAGACCAGAAGGGAAAAATGAAGGTTTCTTTTATGTTAAAACGTTCAAATCCCATTTATTCATCCACTATTACTGCTCTTACTCTGGGAATCAATGTTAGGATCAAAAAAAGGGAAAACAGGAGGAGAGTTGTCCTTTTAAAATACCTAAAACAGCCTAGTCCAGAGAAAATAGCACCTCGTTTCAAAGGGATTTCTCCAAACTTAATGGCTTTCTTCTCTTCCAGGAAGTCTGCTAAGAAGGCGGCTCACCTGGACATTTCTTTTGCTTTTCTGAAAGGATATTTTTTGAAAGACGGCTCGGGAGCTAGTGGAACTTATTCTTACCCAATGTTCAAAATGTCTACCGTTGGCCCTGGTGTAGGACAATGCTTAGACACAGGGACACCGCTGACCTGCTTAGAGCACGGAGCTAGGAGCAAGCCCGGGGCACAACCCCAGCCCTACTTGTCCCATTATTTGAAAATTCACTGCAATAAAAACTTAATTCTACAAAACCATCCCATCCATGTTAGCTTTTGCCAGTGTAACACATGAATTTGAAAGAGTTTGGGAGACAGAGAAAGGACTTCTTTTAAAAACAAAGTTGATATTAGTAGTGAAATAAAGAAGGACCATTGTAGTTTAGTAAAAGAGTTAATATGGATTCTAATAAGACACATTTTTCCGACGTAATTTTAAGAAAATCAAGACGCTGAAAGGCTGTATAAGTAGACAAATGGGGATTTTTATAAATAGTGAAACGATGTCCATAAACTAGAAGTAAACTAGATGGAAACAGAGAGGAAGTAAACTGCCTGCAGTCTATTGAAAGTAGTCTACTGCACACAGTTAAAAGGAAACTCATGAGCAACTTTTAAGTAAGAGGTCACAATTGAAGATTTGCTCTGATTCATGCCAGACGTTCCCAAAGGGAAAGGAACTTGCAAGGGGACTGAAGAGTGAAGAAAACAAGCAAGTGGGGAATATAAAACACGGGCCACTGAGGAGCTGGGACCTCGGGGACCCGAGAGCAGAGAAAGGCATTCTCTGGACACACAAATAAGAAAGTCGTGATGGAGGCCCCCAGTGGGACTGGCCAGCAGCAGAAGATGCGGGAAACGTCTATTTACAAAAAAATAGTTTGGGTCCTAAATATATTGCTACTTTTCCAGGCTTTTAAAAATTCAAAAGCTTTCTACTTCAGACCTCTGCCTTCTACTCCCTCCCAAGAATGAGAGGTGAGTCCATGGCAACCGCTCAGTGCACAGAGAAGGAAATGGGACAGAGGGAAGGCAGACGGCTTGTGGTTTCCACCAGTTGAGACAAACACAGTCAGCAGCTGTTCGACAAGGAAGGTCCTGTTGCCGTGTCTGACGTAGATTTAGATGCCAGCCAATTTTTGGCACGTAAGGAGTTCTCGCACATACATTAAAGGGAAAAATTAGACAGTAGATACAAATATGCAATGTATAAAAGAAATACAAATGGCTAATAACATTATTTGACTTATACTGCCTACTAAAAAGAATCCAAGGGACAGGGGTGCCTGGGCGGCTCAGTCGGCTAAGCGTCGACTCTTGATCTCGGTTCAGGTCACGATCTCACGGTCTGTGAGTTCGAGCCCCACATCGGGCTCTCTGCTGATGGCACAGAGCCTGCTTGGGATTCTCTCACTCCCTCTCTCTCTCTGCCCCTCCCCTGACCGTTCTCCCTCAAAATAAATAAACATTTTTAAAAAACCCAAAGGACAAAATGAACTTTTTCTAACCCTTTATACTGACGAATATTAAAAGATTACTACACAAATACTGAAAGAGGGTGCAGCAAACGCAAGCAGTTGCACATCAAGGTATAAAAGACCACTGGACCTAGGAGTGGGTCAGCTATCGGCATTGACCCTAACTGGACTAATCAGAAATTAGACAATGAGTAGGCTGGCTGCGAGATAACAGAAAATACATACCGGTCTCTGGCCCCAGTTCCTGGCACAGAGCTCCGAAAACCCTTGTAATTTCCTGGATACTAGGAGTGTCTTTTGTTCTAATGGGGTGACGCTGGGTGGGCTTCTGAATGGTTCCGGATGAGGGCTGGTCATTGGAAAAGACCGAACCACGATTAGGAGGTAGGAGTTTTCAGCCCTGCTACACCTTCTCTTGAGAAGGGAGCATAAAAAATGCAAAAAGTACAGGGTGCCTGGATGGCTCAGTCGGTTAAGCATCTGACTCCTGGTCTTGGCTCTGGTCATGATCTCACAACTTCTGAGCTCGAGCCTTGTGTCTGTGCTGACAGCGCGGAGCCTGCTTGGGATTCTCTCTTTCCCTCTCTCTCTGCTCTCCCTGGCTCGCATAGTCTCTCTCTCAAAATAAATTTTAAAAACTTTAAAAAATTTCCAGAAAGTACACGTTCAGAGAACTTCCAGACTGGTGAGCACGTGGAGGCATGGGGCGGGGGGCTCTGTGACAAGATGTGGCAGGTTTGTGCCTCCCCACGGACCCTGCCCTGGGCCTGCCTTTCATCTGAGTATTCATCTGTACCGTTCATCACATCCTTGAATAGACTGGTAGACGTGTTTCCTTACCTTCTGTGAGTCGCTCTAGCAAATTAATCCCACCTGAGGGGGGTGATGGGGGAACCTCCGATTTAATTATAGCCAATCGGTCAGAAACACAGGTGACAACCTAGACTTCCTGTTGGCATCTGAATTAGGGGTGAGGAACAGTCTTGTGAGACTGAACTCCTAACCTGTGGGGTCTGAACCTTCTCTGGGTAGACAGAGTCAGAACTGAGTTAAGTTGTAGGGCACTCAGTTGGTGTCACAGAGAATTGCTTGGTGGGGGGAAATTCCCACACATCTGGCGACCAGAAGTGTCAGGAGTGAAGCTTTCGGTGTGAAAGTGAAGGACAGACAGGGGGACAGAGGTTTCTGAATGCACTGGTACATCCATGTCATGAGATACTGTGTCGCCATTAAAATGATGGTGATCATTCACTTTCCTTGAATTGTATTCATGACCTTGTACCGAATATAAAAAGTATTCTGGCGTAATCATGTAGATGTAAGATTGTGCGTATAGACACGGAGTGTTTGGAAAAGTCACTAAAACATGAAGAAGGACGCCACTCTGGGATCTCAAGTGGTTTTCACTTTCATTTCTTTTACACTTATTAGTACTGTTTCAACGTTTCACAGACTGAGTTTCCTTTCGTAAGTAAGAAATAAATAAACAACAAAGATAGCATCCTTACATATCTTGTCCTTCGTGGAGGACAAAACATTAGCTAACAAATGATCTGGCAGGGCTCTACCAACCAGCCAGTGGTCCTTTTTCCGCCCCTTTGTCTCTATTCAGAACGGATGCAAAATAACCACGTTAAAAAAATTAAATAAAGACAATACACAAACAAGAGCCCCTCT